GGGTTGCTCCAGTGGCGCCGAGGAGCAGCGCTACTGGAGCAACCCAGCAGCACCAGAGTTGCTCTGCCTCAGGCTTCCTGGAATCAGCCGCTGATCAGTTTCAGCAGCAGCTGACTTGGGGACACTTGGGTTTCTTAAGTTGAATCTGTATGTAAGTCAGAACTGGCGTCCAGATTCAGCCGCGGTTGAAACTGATCAGTTTCAGCAGTGGCTGACGCCAGTTCCAACTTACATACAGATTCAACTTAAGAACAAACCTACAGTCCCTATCTTGTACGTAATCCGGGGACTGCCTGTATTAAAGTGGTCTGAATTCATTGCAGCTTAATTTTTTAGAAGACCACTTTGCTAACATGCAGCTTTTGTGCCTAATTGTGCAAATTTGTGAAATTTGGGAGTGCATCCAGCTCATTGCTGGGTTTCCGAACATGCAAGTCCAACTTGAAAGGTTCTCAAAATCTGCCCCCTCTCCTAATCAAGTGCAGTGGCTTATCTGCAAGAAGTGGCAATGCTTCTTGAATGGAAATTTTACAACCCAAACATCTCAGGCTGTTTTAGAATGTGTATAAAGGGAATCATAGTTCTTTCACATTTAACTTTTGGATATTATGAAAACCCAACGGAGGATTTAAACATACATTAAGGAAAGTTGTATGAGCTCTAATGTAGTTTCTATATTTTTATATTAGTTCTTTTGTTGCATCATTTTAAATTAAAAGCTTAAAATTCACTTTTACAATAAATTCCTCAGTATTTTAGGATTTCAAAGATTCTATAATGATGCCTCTTTGTCTGACTCAAGAATAGCAAACCTCTTACAATGGCATTCTGTGTCACCAAAGCTAATACATTATTTTCATATTTTAACAGAAAGAAGTGATGATATTCCTGACCTTTAATATCATCTTAAACTGAAAACTCATTAACACAAAAAGAGACATTAACTGTGTAGCATTCTCCAAAACATTTCTTCTCAAGGTTAACTATATGTCAGTAAAATAGCACCAGAAATGTAAAAAAAGACATGCGATGGGGAAAAAGTGAGTCTGTGCCTTTGTTTTGTTTGTTTGTTTTGCTTCTTCGTTATATATAAAGAAGGACAGAAAGTGTTTTGTAAGACACTGAGAACACCTTTTAACTTTTGGAAATTCAGATCTTGTTTATTCTGTGAGTCTCTGCAGTGAAATGTGACATGACAAGAATCAAGTGATTTAAAACAACTGAAAATATAAAACGATGGTGTTTAAATTAGCTATTACCACTCAAGAAAGATCTTGGAGTCTTTATGGATAGTTCTCTGATAACACCTACTCGTGCTGTGGCAGTCAAAAAAGCTAACATTGTTGGGAATCATTAGAAATTGTTGGGAACCATTACATAAGATAGAAAATTTCATACTGTCTCTATATTAAGCCATGGCAAGTCCGCAACTTTAATACTGAATGCAGATGTGGTCGCCCCATCTCAAAAAAGATATATTAGAACTGGAAAAGATACAGAAAAGGGTAACAAAAATGACTAAGGATATAGAATAGCTTCCATACAAGGAGAGATGAATAAGACTGGGACTTTTCAGCTTGGAAAAAGAGACAAACAAGGAGGGCATGACAGAGGCTTATCAAATTATGACTGGTATGGGGAAAGTAAATGAAGTATTATTTACACCTTCTCATAACACGAAGATTAGGGTCCAATAATAAATAAAAGGAAGTATTTCTTCATAACACAACACACAGCCAACCTGTGGAACTCTACCAGAGGGTGTTGTGAAGGCCAAGAATATAACAGGATTAAAAAAAAGAACTAGATAAATTAATGGAGGATAGGTCCATCAATGGCTATTAACCAGGATAAGAAGGGATACAAAATCATTCTCTGAAGTGTCCCTAGCTCTGTTTGCCAGACATTGGGAATGGGTGACAAGAGTTGTATCACTTAATGTTTTCATCTGTTCCATTCATTCCCTTTCAAGCATTTGCCAACTGACCACTGTCAGAAGACAGAATCCTTGGCTAGATGTATCATTGGTCTGACCGAGTATGGTCACTTATGAAAGGGGGACAAATTTTTTTGGCCAACATTGAAAGCTCTTTGTTTTTTGTTAAAATTCTGTATTTTTAAAAGCCTTAGCAGATCACCTTTATAATATGCATACCTCTCCCAGAATTAAGGATAAGGTTTCATTTAACAAACATTTAATGAGAGGTACACTCAGAAACAACTACACAACTTTATGCATCATATTTTGAAAACACAGGAAACCTCTTTAGAATCCAAGTGATATAAGAAATCCAGAACAGAAATGTCCCCACCAAAAGGGAACCGAGTCTTCCAGAAATACAGGAAAAATTCAGAAGACATTTGAAAAGAAAAGGAACTAAGTTTGAAAAAAGCGTATGCAAGTAGATTTGACACAAAAAAATCCCCATTGGTCCTGGTCCTGCAATCAGATCCATGTCTTAGTGGCATTGGGCAGTCAAAAATTGCAGGATTAGGTCATATGTTTCTTTTATGCTCTGTGTATGACCAAAAAATGAGTTTTTTTCCCATATTTAACAAAAAAAGAGCATATCTTGCTATGTAGAATTACTGTTAACTCATCACTAATCTAATCGCAACGTAACATTTCCCATGTGCATAGAGCCCTGTTAATCTGCGGATATCCACTTTATATCTAGCGATATATGCATCTGCAGATGTGGATGCAGATATCCATGGACCATTTTTACAGATCACTGATTGGATCCGGATACAAATTTTATATCCACCCAATACTCCACATATGCTTATTTGAATACACTATACATTATACTGTGTGCTATGATAGAACACATTATCAATGCATCAGGAAGTGGAGAACTGATTTTTAGGAAAGTATCAACTGGAACAAAATCTAGTCAGAGATAACGATTGCCTGTTACAATTTAAACAGTAAGACATTATGAAAAAATCTGACCTGCTGCCATTTGGATGGTATAGACAACAAACCTATCATGAACTTCAGCCAGTCACAGACCAGTTTATTCATAATAAAACAGAGAGAAATTATGTGCTTATTTTTAATAGCTCTAGTACTTAATTTTAATTAAAATTTGATTACCACCAACTTGGAACTAGAAAAAAAAATAAGGTCCCTATCTGTAGCAGTGAACACTATTCATCACCCAATGACCTGTTTTACTGAAGCAGATTTTGTTGTTTAGTTTTAATTTTATCAAAAAAATAGTTGACTTACTACGGCTGGTGAAGGTACATGGATACTTCCCACAGACCGAGGACGAATGTGATTGACTAAATGACAGAGAACGACCCCATCCATAAGAGCAGATCCCAAGTCTTCAGGCAAACAAATCTTTAGTCTCATTTCAATGTTCTGTAAGAGGAGAACAAACATGTCACCACTTTTACACAGAATTAGAAAGAACCCCATTCCCCAAAAGCAAATACCCATATTCTGTACCATCCTACCCATTACAGCAGTGACTCCTCACCCAATTCCAGTTTGTCAAGCCACCAGTATATCTTCATTTACATTGCTCCTAGTTCCCCCCCAAAAAAAAAGGAGTCAGGGTGGGGGAGATAAGATTATTGTAGGGGGTGTTGTGGTACTGCTTTCGTAACTTCTGTGCTGCTTCTGCTGCTTGTGGGAGTGCTGCCTTCAGAGCTGGACAGCTAGAGATTAGCTGGTACTGGTGGGGAGACTGGCTGTCAAGGCAAAGCTGCCCCCAGCAGCAGCATAGGAGTTAAGAATGGCATAGCATGATATTGACGCCCTTATTTCTGCACTGCTGCATGGAAGCTGGGCCCTCACTCAGCTCTCTGGCTGCTCAGCTCTGAAGGCAGCAGCGCAGAAGAATAGAATGGCATGGCATGCCGTATGACCACCTTTACTTTTGCACTGATGCTGCTGGTAGTGTACCCAGCTAATAGCTGCCGCTCTGGGGCCACCCAGCTCTGAAGGCAGCACAGAAGTAAGGGTAAAAATATCATGACCTCCCTCCCAAAATAACCTTGCAACCCCCTGCAACTTTTGGATCAAGACCCCCAATTTGAGAAATGCTGGTCTTTCCCCATAATATCTGTATAGCGTAGGATAAGAGCACACAAAAGACCGGGCTTTCATGGAAGGAGACCAGATCTCACTGTCCATGATGCATTGTTCGTGGCCATGTATTTGGTCAGGCCCCTAGTGATAGATTGTGATTGCTGTTACTGATTGGTTCATTAGAACTACAGATTATGCAGATTGCTAGTCTGTTCTAAAATAGTTTAATATAGTGGCTCTTGTCCTTTTTCTTTCATCTCTTTGTCCATGTTACCCAACTCTTCTAACTTGTCCTTTAGATGATATATTCTTTGGGGCCAGGACAGCTATTTATAATATGCTGTATTCAGTTTATCAAAGGCCCTTCTGAGGTCTCTAAATTCCACTGTATTATAAACAACAGCAGTGGTAGTGAAGCGAAAACAAACTATGCAGATCCCAGGTAGGCATGTGTATAATGTGTAAGAGAGGCAGAAGAAGTGGTGTTGTGCCTAAATAAATAACCCTTTCAAATATTATCTGGGGAGCAGAAAACTCTTAAGTTATTTTAGAAAAGGATTTTTTTTTAAATAAATCATTACACATTTCAAAGTTCTATCAAGAAAATACCTTATGTTTTAAGTTAGTCAATGGACAAAATTCAAGTTAATCATTCTAATGCCATATGATGCCACTATTTACTTTTAACACCAAATGTATTTTAAACCAATACTAATGTAAAGTTGTGTCATACAATTTAAGTAGATGTAAAGCAATTAACACTGTCTAGGGCTATCAAGTGACAAAAAATAATAGAATTTTATTTAAATATTTTGGATGTTTATTACATTTTCAGATATACTGATTTCAATTATAATACAAAATACAAAGCCCGTTTTACATCAATTATATATTACAAATATTTGCACCATAAAAAAAACAAAATAAATATATTTTTTCAGTTCATCTAATACAAGTACTGCAGTGCACTCTCTTCATCAGGAAAGTTGAACTTGCAAATATAACAATGTACAAAAAATCCTGCATTCAAATATAAAACAATATAAAACCTTACAATTTACAAGTCCACTCTGCCCTACCTCTTTATTCGGCAATTGTTCAGAAGAACAAGTTTACATTTGTAGGAGATAATGCTGCCCATGTCTTGTTTACGTCTCCTGAAAGCGAGAACAAGCATTTACATGGCGCTGTTGTAGCTGCTGCTACAACATATTTATCTACAGGATGTGCTACAGATTTATACGTCCTTTCCACATTTCAACCACCATTCCAAAGGACTTACATCCATGCTGCTGATGGGTTCTATTTAATAATGATACTTTTCTTTAGAAATCTCACACAGTACCTTCTTTGAGTTTTTGTCAAATCTGCAGTGAAAGTGTTTTTAAAATGAATATGTGTTTGGTCATCAACTAGGACTGCTATAACATATATGGCATAATGCAGATAAAATAGAGCAGGATATAAATAATTCTTCCTCAAGAAGTTGAGTTATACATTTAATTAACACTTTTTTTTTAATAAGTGTCATCAGCGTGGAAGTAAGTCCTCTGGATGGGTGGCTGAAGCATGAAGGGACATATGAATGTTTAGCATATCTGGCACGTAAATACCTCACCATGCTGGCTACAAAAGTACCATACAAATGCCTGTTCTCACTTTCAGGTAACACTATAAATAAGAAGTGGGCAGCCTTATATCCCATAAATGCACACAAATTGCTTGTTTTAGCAATTTGCTGAACAAGATGTAGGAAGGAATGGACTTGCAGGCGCTAAAGTTTTACATTGTTTTGGAATGCAGTTACATTTATTTTTATTTCAAATATTTGCATCATAAAAAACAAAAGAAATATATGTTTTCAATTCATCTAATACAAGTACTGTAGCGCACTCTCTTCATCAGGAAAGTTGAACTTACAAATATAACAATGTACAAAAAATCCTGCATTCAAATATAACAAAATATACATATTTGTAAATTGTACTGTCACAATGAAGAGATTGTACTACAGTGCTTGTATGTGGCAAACTGAAAAATATTATTTTTCGATTATCATTTTACAGTACAAATATTTGTAATAAAAAACAATAGTATAAAGTGAGCACTGTGCACTTTGTATTCTTTGCTGTAATAGAAATTAATATATTTGAAAGTGTAGAAAAATATCCACAATGTTTAATAAATTTCAACTGATAGCTTATTATTTAACAATGAGATTAAAACTGTGATTGTCTTTAATTTTAATCACTATTAATTTTTTGGTTAATCATTTGAGTTAACTGCCCTAGTACAACACAAGTAAAAACACTTTGTATTAGTGACAGCTTGCAACTGAAGCTCTTAACATTCATTACAGTAATTATCTCATCTGTTTCACAGATAGTGAAACTGAAGCACAGAGAGTTTTATAGATTTTAAACACTTTAAACCATCTTAACTGAACTGCGGCACAGCCCAAAGACTCTCACCCAGTAATTCTGCATCAAGACTATAACTTCTGTTTATGCTATTGTGTATCTTTTAGACACCAGTTTTGATTTAAAAATCTTCAATGATGGAAAATCTATCACATTGCTAGATAAATTGTTGCAATGGTTAATTATCTATAGTTTAAAATTAATATTTATTTCTAGTCTGAATGTGTGTAGTTTCAATTTCTAACTATTGACTCTCACTATGACTTTATCTGCTAGAAACATGCTCACCATTAGAAACCTTGTAGAGTGAAATTAAGTAATCTCTTAACCTTTTTTGAAGAACCACTTAGATCAGGGATGGGCAATAAGGTGGCAGTTGGCCAGGGTTAGCCCAGGAATTTCTGTGGGGAAGGGTGTGAGCTGTGGAAGGGGCTGGTGGCAGCTCCCCCCACCCTTTGTGGCCAAGCTCTGCCTCCAGCTTTGCTCCTGAGTGAGGAAGGGGGGAATCAACCCTAAGCCTTACCCAGCTGACCAGAGCACAGGGGAGGGAGGCTGGGACAATGCGCTACTCCTGCCTTCTCTAGTTTAGCCAGAATCAGCCCCATGGTGGACCATGAAGGAGCATGGGGAGTGTGCACCCCTCTCCCCCTCAGTGTACGGGCCTTTAGCCCCTGACAGACTGCCACCACCATAGTTACCTGCACAGCTGCAGATACCAGTGATCCACAGCCAACAGGGGCTGCAAAGACTAATATCTGAGTCTGTGCAGGTAAATATAACAGTGGGATCCCACCAGGAGTAACCTCAGCAGACTGGATCAGCTTCACGAGTCAGTATTTGCCCACCTCTGACATAGATAGAGCTTCTTAAGTTTCTCAATGTAAAATACCTTGTCTAGACTTCAAATAATTGTGTGTTCTTTTTGAAGTATGTACATCAAATGGCATGCAGTATTCCAGTCATGGTATTTTAATGCTGTATACAGAGATAATGCCATCTTCCTACACTTTGATTTTCCCCTGCTTACACAGCCAAGGACTGCTTTTACTCTAAGATTAGGCGACTTTCCCAAGGGCAAACAGGAAATACATGTTTAGCCACAAATCTGTAGCCTCTCTCGTGATCTTTCACATACCTCGCGCAATTGCTCCACAAGCTCTTTCTCCTCTCGCAACTGTTCCATCTTCCTCCGAATTGTAAATTGAGGGTCTATAGATTCCAAATTTCTCTGTGGCCTTAAAAATACTGCGATTTCAAAGAAAACAGAGATTTAGTAAAAACAAGCCATCAAAACCTTTTGGTTTATTGATTTTCATATTAAACAAAATCCTTAATCACTGTCCCAGTCATCCCACCAGTGGGAGTGCACTCTAAGTTTGATTTATTAAGTCTTAACTAGATTTGCTAAATCAAATTCCAGAAGAATGATCACAGCAGTATCGATCTTCTGTTTAGTAAAGACATGGCCTGAGTAAGTATGGGTTAGTTCAGAAGTTAATCCTAAACTGCAGAGGACGACAACATCTCAAATACTTATATGGGCCACCACTTTTCATCTGATACCACTGGGTTAGCCACTGGCAGCAGTATGCAACCTAGACCTGTCAGCAGCAGGCTCAAGCACCTCTATGCATGATACAGACACTAAAGAGGGGGTAGAGCACCACCTGGCGTAAGCACAGATAATGGTTATTTTCAGATTTTAGATCCTGTTGTACTGCTGTTTTTCTTTTGTGAGGATTATTTTCCTCAACTAATGCTTTCCTATTTTTGAGAAGTCTCAGAGGGGTAGCCATGTTAGTCTGTAACTTTAAAAACAAACAAACAGTCCTGTGGCATCTTAGAGACTAACAAAAATACATAGCATCATGAGATTTCATGGGTAAGATCCACTTCATGAGATGAATTGGAGTAGAAATAATAGAATCCAAGATATATAATACAGCAAAAAAAGCTATTGGCTTCATTAACAAGGGTCCTAACATTGACAGGTACCTTTTTTGCTGATAAACATCTTGGATTCTGTTATTTCTACTCCAACTCATCTGATGAAGTGGGTCTTATTCACAAAAGCTCATGACACTATATATTTTTGTTAGTCTCTAAGGGTATGTCTAGGCTACATGGCTCCGTCGACGGAGCCATGTAGATTAGGTTTCTAGACATAGGAAAATGAAGTGGCGATTTAAATAATCGCCTCTTCATTTACATCAAAATGGCTGCCACGCTGTGCCAATCAGCTGTTTGGTGGCACACCGCAGTAGTCTGGACTCTACGCAGTCGACAAGGTAAACTCTTGTTGACTGCCCCTTTATGCCTCATGGAATTAGCATATGGCTGCCACGCTGTGCCAATCAGCTGTTTGGTGGCACACCGCAGTAGTCTGGACTCTACGCAGTCGACAAGGTAAACTCTTGTTGAGCAGCAGCCATTTTGATGTAAATGAAGCGGCGATTATTTAAATCGCCGCTTCATTTTCCTATGTCTAGAAACCTAATCTATATGGCTCCATCGACAGAGCCATGTAGTCTAGACATACCCTAAGGTGCCACAGAACTACTCATTCCTATTTTTGGTCTCCTTGTGAATGCTGAGATGGGAGTGATCTGGTCCAAGTGCAGGAAGAGGTAGGTAACCAAATTCCTCCATAAGACTCAGCGGCTTACTCTCCGTCTCCCTCATTTCTGCATTGGTGGAGGTTTTCGGGAACCAGGACTTGTTCAAAATGTGGGAGGAAAAGTGGGAGATAATGTTTTGGTCATTAAAATATACAAGACTTCTTCATTCTCTGTGTATCTGTATATGCAAATGTCCCAAGGGGACAAACTGCTAACAGTCATTATTGGTGAAGGGAAGAGACCCTCAGCATTTATGTAAAATGACAGCCTGAGAAAGGAAAGCCTTGAGTCAGCAGAAAGAGAAGTGATTAGTAAGAGCTGGCCTTCTATTTGTTTCTCCAGGAATTTTCACACTGTGGTTTCATGAGCCCCTCAAAGATTGTGAGGTATTTACTTGGGAGTCATGAGCTGTCTGCCTCCAAACTCTGTTTCATCTACAACATTAACAATATTGTTAAATATTTAAATGTGATTTCAAATTTATAAGGAGGTTGGGGGCTTGCTGTGTGAAAGGGGTCACCAATACAAAAGTTTGAAACCCACTGCTGATTTTCAATCTTTTTTTCATTTGTGAATACCTACAAAATTTCAAACAGATGTATGGCCACCTTTGGAAATCTTACATGTGGTCTGTGAAAGGACCATAGGCTGAAAACCATTGCTCTAAATTAAATATGTTTAGTAATTCAAAAAAATAAAACCTGAAGTCCAACAATTTAAAACTACCTCCTTTCAATCCCATGGGAAGTGAAACTACAAATGAGCCCTTCAAAAGCAAATAGCAAAGCTGTTGGTGCCACCAACTGGTAGGAATTAAGAATTAAATTATTCTTTTAAAGTGCATAATAAAAGGAAACAAAATACAGGACTATGTAGCACTTTAAAGACTAACAAGATGGTTTATTAATAAACAAACTAATAAACCATCTTGTTAGTCTTTAAAGTGCTACATAGTCCTGTATTTTGTTTCAGCTACACCAGACTAACACGGCTACATTTCTATCTCAATAAAAGGAAAGGCACTATACGGAATAGAAATGGCAGTTCACTACTGACATTATTTCATGCAAATACAATCTCATGTTTATTTAGGTTGTGTTTTGGATAAATGTTTTAACTTTTACATCAATTTTCAAATTATGAAACACGCTAGGAAAAAAGAAAATGTAACAAACGTTCAAATAAATTCAACACAGGGTGAGTGCATGCTTGCATGAGGCCCAATCAATCTGAAGGATCACTAAGATGAACTGTACTCAGGGATTTTCTGGATCCTTGACATGTTTGCTTCTGTACTTGCATTAAGATCTTGGAAGAGGGAAAAAGGGTTCCTGCATGAGATAATTTATTTGATGATATTAAAGTGGCCAAATGAAAACTCTGTTTGGAACCAATGGCTTAAGGAATAACCCTATTCTGGATAAGCTGATGGTTGCAGTAACTGCAAAGTACAATGCTTCATTAAAAGAACTATTTCAGGAAATGCCACAAACTACACAGTAAGAGAGTCTAGTAGTTAATCAATAAAAAACAGCCCATCAAAAGATCTCTACAAATATCTTAATTTGAAGAGCAGCATAAAGCAAAGATCACATATTTTCAAACTATGCCATGGGGATTTAGCTACGTGAATGCCATTAAACTCTAAGGCAGTTCTGTGAATAAATTCTTGTGCACCATAGTTAAAATTCAAGGATAACAGATCACAAGCTAGATATCAAGAGCTCCCTTCAGATATCCATAACAAAGCAAGACATATGAAGAAATGGAAGACTACATTTTTAACAGTATGGTAAAAATGAATATTGTGTTCCCGTATCATGCCAATTTTTTAAACTGTTCCTACTGTTACTATAAAAAAAAGTCTACATTTACTAAGAATATCAGTTAAAGTATTAAGTAATTATTTACATTTCAAATTAGTAAACAACTTACTGTAAAACTTAAAATAAACAACATTTAAAATTCTGGAAACTATTTAGATGTGGATCTATGTAGTATGTTCTCTTCAATATAAAAGAAAATAGGTAAATACACACACATAACCATATAAACATGCGCCCACCACAAACTGCAATAGCAGACTTGAAAACTCCGTTGACATCTCCATTCCAGTTTTAGCAGCTGCAATACTTTAAAGAGCACTGTACATAAGGTATGCCAATGGACACTATCATGTGTTTTTTGTTTGAGTCTGCATCTATCTTGGACATTTTTATCATGGCCTTCAATCAATGTAGCCTTGTTTATCTTTCTTATGTGCTATATTGAACTGGCATGCACCCGCGTAACAGAAAAACTGAGCTTTCTTTGGTCCATATTGTAACGTACAGAAGAACAGGAAAAGTTCTAGAAGGAAATGCTATTATAGGTAAGACTCAGTTTATTCTCGGTGTACTATTATTCCTATGTAGGATATAAGTCTCGTGAGAAAAGATGCTTATATTTGGTCTTTGAGGAGAAACTCACCTGCTCTAGACATTATTTCTCAACATGATCACTGTCCAGTTTGCTATAAATTAGAAACCCTAAACACAATGAGGTACTTCAACTTTATGCTGTTTTGTAAATAAATGTCAGGAATGGCAATCATCTCCTCATGGAAAATAAATATTAAAATTATTCATTCCTTTTAACTTAATGAGAGACATATATTCTACCTATAGGCAACAAAGGACAGAGCTTAAACATATAGGTAATTCTTTCAAAGTGTTATTCTGAAAACACATTCAAGCAAAATAAATTAGCAAGCAAGTAAGATATTCTTTCATCTCTGTTATACACTAAAAATATCAGAAGTAAAGTGTTCTAATTCAGGATGTTTCAACAATACAGAATATGCTAGTTATTCTGCATTATATATTTGTTCCACCAAGGGGAGCCAAAGCCACACAAATGTATGCCTCAGAAGGTATTTTTTCAGATCAAAGTACAGTAGTTCTCTTCACTGCTGGTCAGCATAGCCTATTTATTTCATATTAGTTTCAATAAGCCCACATTGGAAAACATTTTAAATGTAAGTAAAAACAAATTAAATTAGCAATAATACTTAGCCTAATCCACAATGTGTGGTAGGTTTATCTCTCTTTGTTAAAGATCAGACTTCCAATTGATGATTTCCATTTTTGCACTTTCACTACATTGTAGGAACAGTTTTCTTCAGGCAATTATTTGCAGGCTAAGTTTAGGACACTTAATACTGCAAATACTTAACTTGCCAGCCCAATCAAGTACCTAGATGTCTAAATAAGAAAAACTGCAACTGAAAATACCTGTGGTTGCAAAAATGCCAGGGCTAGTAACCAGTGTTCCCTCTAAGCTCCAGGGCAGTACAGTTTCACAGGTGAATAATCAGCCCCACCCAGTTAGAAGGGCAGGGCTCCCTAGACCCAGCTGACTGACTAGGCGGGGCTGATTAATCACAGTGAAGCTGTGCTGCCCTGAAGTCTAGAGGGAACACTGATAGCAACCCTTAGATAAAGCAAGTCTGAACATTTGAAAAATATGGCTCTATTTCTTGTGATCAATTCTATTCAGTTTTTTAAATTATATATGCTTCAAGTCGATACGCAATAAGTGACTCTTGTATACTAAAGAGACATCTGAATACCACTGAGAGGAAATTCAGTGGTCAGGAAACTAACCTATAACTTATGAGCCTGAGTTCAAATCCCTGCTCTTCTCTAGACTTCCTTTGGGATTCTAGGCAAATCACTTAGTCTCTCTGGGCCTTGGTTTTCCACCTGGAAAAAGGGCTTAATAGCACTTCTCTGCCTCATTTTTGAGGAGTAACATTAGTTCGTACCAAGGGGTTTGATTTGAACTAACATGGCCCAGAGCGCACTTCCTGGTTCAAATCAGCTGGAGATCGGAATAGCGCGCGGGTGAGATTATGCTAATGAAGCGTGGGATATTTAAATTCCCGCTTCATTAGCAATTTTGGTCACCTACAGTTGCATCCCTCGTTCGAACTAGGGGGAGAGTGTAGACGTAACCTTAGTGATTATAGAGCTTACATTATCTCTTGTACTTTACTTAAAGATTAGTGCAATTAAATGAATAATCATTAACTTAGGAATTACTGTGTTAAATGGAGAGGTATTAATGTTGGATACTTTAAGCATGCGGGGATTAGAATTGTGATACTGTTCAGCAGTTTAGAGTTGAAAGAATTTGATTTCAAACCACAGAATTCTGTAAATGGCACAAACATTGGAGGCAGTGAACATAATGAACAATGCAGGTCACTTCAAAATTATTTGGATTGTTTAGAAGACCAGGCTAGATGGTTAATGCTATTCATTATTGAAAAATACAAAATGAATTAGTCTGGAGAAAAGGAAATAATCTGGAGTTTATGCACTAAATAGAGCAATCATCCAAGGGTGCTGTTAGCAGTACAGGTCACTCACTGTATGAGGAGAAGGGCACAATATAAGGCAAAAAATGATAACCAACTTCAAGAAAAAGTTATGAAGAAATGTTAAGAGAATCAGCAAATTTCTTTTCCAATGAAAAAAATCCTTATAGACCTTTGTTCCCAGAATTCCCTTTATTTTAAGAACAAGCAAGACTGTTTTTCTTCATTAATATACCAATTGTCCATTCTTTTCATTTAAAGAAAGATCTGCTGGGTAGATAATTCAATGTTTTACGTGTTGCACATCTTTCATTTTCATTTCCCATACTCTACCATGTGAACTATGGATAAGGGCTTGTAATGATGAAATAGATTTTTAATATTGGAAAGAACCAGGAAGCCTTGTCTGACATTATCTTCTTAAGCCATTCAGAATCAGCTTGTAACTCTTGGAGAATGAAAAGAAAAAGAAAAAAAAAACAACAAAAATCCCAGGCATGATGCTGAGGATGTAATACTTTAATTTTAAGAAACTCTCAAATCTCTTTTTAGTTTTTCAGTTCTCCTTAAACCAGAAGTGCAGGATTTCAAACTTTAAAGCATATTTGCATATACTCTATGCTTTAATTTTTCAACAATGTGCATAAATACTGCCACCACATGTGTTCTATATACATAAAAAAAGGCTTATTCTTTAGCCTAATTTATTAAGTTTCAGTTTTATAAGCCAGACAAGTAGGAATAGTTGGCTCACAATGAATGGACAGAACAGATTTCTTATAGCCCATTTCAAAGGGCTCCACATACACAACAAATGAATTATTCATATATGTTCCTTGTCTAGCACTCAGAGAAACACCTGCTACATCATATTCAACTCTTCTTTTGGTGTGACAGCATGTTAATAAATAGAATGCTGAATTCTAACATATGAGCACATCTTGTACAAGATAATGCCAATAAGAATTCTGGTGAGTGACCATCATACTTTCGAATGTTTCAACGTTACAGCTTTCTGAATGGCCTTTTTTCAATAATGTCACATAATATTAGATTTAATTAAGTAGCAGAAAAAACAAAACTAAAAATACTTCAAGCAACCATTGTGCAGGGCATTTAGTGTATTGGATCCATTATCAGATGAGACATACAGCACAATAATGTCCACAGGAGTAAAGTCAGATTAACATTTACTGTTGTATCCCGGACTATGGGAGCTGTTTTAATCAAAAGCACTCAGACTCAACAGCTATGCACATAGCAGTGAACTTTATAGATGACTGCACTGCAGCGGATCCACTAATTCCCAAAAATCTTGCTCCAGTATGCAACGGGTTCAGACTGATATGTGGGATGAATTCTCAAGGGGGACTAGTATCTTCTGTGTGTCCAGACAGTGTTCAGAAATCTGGAATATTCTTAGGAAATCACATTTGATCTGCTCTTTCATGAGAGATAAAAATTAAGAACTGTTCAATTTTGGTCAGTGCTTTGTTTATTGTGCATGATCACATATGTATTATATGATCTTGAATATTTCATAGATCTCAGGTACTTGCAAATATGGAGAGATATTGTCTCCTTGGCACATTGTGCTGCTGACTGTAAAAAAAACTCTGAATAACTTTCATTCTCTGAAAAATATGCCATCAAGTCTAGCACAAAAATCTATGCAATTCTCTTATTTAGCTCATGTATCACTGGAAAAAATGATGGCACAACAGCTTCTGCTTCCAAACAGATTTTTGGCTGAAACAAACTAAAATTAAAGGACATTCGACCTATCTACTTGACCTACCTGTCTTTTTTACACACCATAAACACTGCTTTATTCACTAACATATTTCTCTCTCTCCCTTCACCACTGTTTGATCCCTTCATCAGAGAATGGAATGCAGATAAGAATTCTGGTGAGTGAAATGTCTTTTCATTGGCCTCATAGTGACATAATGATCAATTTGATTTTTCTACATTTCCTGCTCATGGACTTCTTAGACTGCATATTCAACATTCTTATGCACTAATTAACATGTACCATCTCAGTCTATTGGTTTCTAATTCCTAAGTTTTATTACCTATTATGAAAAGGGCATGATTAAATGTCCATCATCTTTAGCTTTGTGGGAAATAAACAAACATATGAATTGTCTGAAAAAAAAAACAAATTAAATACATACAGATCACCTACCATTGTCACTGTCCCCTTCAGATGGGATACTGTAGCTATAGTTGTCCCATGTTTGAGCCTGCGTAAGTTTGTTGAAGGAGATAGGAGGAAGAGTGAGGGGTGGGTCTGTTGCAGGGGAATGAGAGCCAGAAGTATACAGACCAGGGAAAAACCACAGGAGTAGCAGCATTTCATATATGGTATGAGGATTTCATGGTAATGAAGAGGATGCCATTCAAATGAGATTAATATAAAATGTATAATTTTGGAAGAAAAGAATGAAAGATGGTGCACAGAATAAAAAGAATGAAAAATTAAATGTTAGTATTTGTAAATCATACATTATATGTGCAGCTAATGCTGTTAATCTTAACAAGATTATTACAACATTGCACTTTACATAATTACGTTTACAACCAATGCCTATGAAGAAAAATACCCATAGATTACATACTGTGGGCTAAAGAAAGGAAACCCTAACACTGTGAAATGATGTGTAAATTTATCATCAATGCAGTTGCAGCAGTAAAAACATAAAACCAAGCAGAAAACATTAGAGAATAAACATATATTTCAGGTTTTCGGTGTTAGAGGAGCATAAACACAGTTTAATTAAATTAAGATTTTTCTTGGAACATTTTTTTTAAGTACCCAATTCTGTCTTGGATATACTGGTAGTAGCTCCTTTGGTTGTCCCTTCTATCACAAAGAAAATCTTATGATCCTTGTGACTTTATTCCTTCCTTCTTCAGCTGTCATCTTTTAGCTCAAGCAGCACTACTTCTCCCCTCCTATTAACTTCATCATGCACAGTCCTAGTCTTTTATTTGCCTACCTTTGATACCCTTACTACAGCCTTCTCCTCTTCTGCATTCTCTTTCCTCTTTGCATAAGATCTTATAGACTGTTTCAAACACAAGACTTGTAACCTCTCTCCTCAACACCGTCGCCCCTGCTACCAATTTTCTTCCTCCTTCTTGTTCCTCCTCCCATTATCTAAAACAAGGCTTCACTCCTGGGTGTCAAATCCACCACCATTCTCCACAATCTCTTCCCTTTCCCCCTCCTAACCTACACTGTCCCTTTCTCTCTCATTTTTGATTACTTAATGTTCCTCCTCTCTTGCTTCCCCCAAGCCTCGCACTGCCCCCCACCCTGTGGTCCTTACAAATCATAGCTGCCAATGATCATCTTTGCCCACCACTCTAACCACTTCATCTCCCTCTTTCAACTTCTTGCTGGCTCCCTATTTTCCATCATGTACAATTTAAGCTTAGGGCCCTGATCCTGAATGAGGTCTTTGGATGCTATTAAAATACAAATACATAAATCATCACCATGTTGCCAGTTTGAATGCCAAATTATATTTTTAATTCAATTTAAAATAAGTGTGTTTACAGTACTTCACAGAAATCTGGGTTTGCTATAAACATGAAAATTAGCATTTAGATTTTAAAAGGCAATGATTTGTATTGCTTTAATTAAAAGTTATTTTTAAATATTAAAATGGAAAAAATGGAAAAAATAAAGCCTCAGTAAAAAGACAGCATTCTCACCCCACTTCAAATAAATGTAAGGGGACTGTTACCCCTTACTAAAACTCTGTGGGAGTTTTTTGGTTTACCAGCTTCAGAAGGGGAAGGGTTCATGAGACTGATAGACCCCAGAGACAATGGAAAGCAGTCAACACTCCAGCTCAGCCTGACTGACAGGTTGTAAGTGGGGATTGTTCTGGCTCTGTCTCTGAACAAACAAGCTGTGTGCAGAAGAGGTCCTGCAAAGACAGAGAGCTGAAAGAGGAGTACAAGAAGAAGTCCTGCAGCGACAGAACCAGACACAGACAGGCCAAGCAGTGCAGACCCTGTGTGGAGCAGCAGACTGGCAGTCCTCAGAAAGCCAAAAGGAACAGAGAAACAACACAAGGAGCTGGAACTGGCCAAGCAGCACAGCCTGCAGCTGGATGTGGTGAGCTACTGGGACCTGCAAAGTGTGGGGAAAGGCTCTTGTCCGGCCTGCAGCCCCCTGGCAGCACATCCAGGGCCTCTAAGGGGCCTATAAGGAAGAGACTGTGGACTGTCCTTACACTCTGCAAACTGCTGTTTTGATGTCCCTGTGCTACAGAGCAGGGCTGTGTGTTCTTATTTAACCATTCTCATTTTTCATATTCTTTTCTCTTTAATCAGTTGTTGTTTAATAAATTGTATTTGCTTTGAACCTTATGAAGTGATCACTGGGCCAAGAAGGCCTGCAGTGTAAAGAGAGCACGTCGGAGTGGGGACACCCTAACTCCTGCCCCTAGTGACTACAAGGTCAGGGATTAAGCCCCAGGAAACCTGGGCCCAGCCTTGTTGGGGTTTCAAGGGCTCTGCTACTCAGGAGAGTGGAGGGGGAGCCCTCAGGATCAGGGAGCCGTGGGGTAAAGGAAGTGGGAGCGAGGACTCAGATCCTTTCGCTGGTTCATTTCACCGGGGTGTATAGAAGCCAGGAAAGTTCCCCACAAGAGCGGGACCATTCCCCCGCTTACATAATGCTACATCTATTAAAAGAAAAAGAATTCACCCTTTCTGGAATCTAACAGATTAACCAAAAAGTAATTAAAAATAATACCCCAAGACCACCATCCTCTCTAAGTCATTAGGTTTGGTTTCTCTTAGTGTTCTTTCCCTTAGAACCTCTCTGTTCCGAACCTCAGTTCATTCTGTCTCTAGCTACTCCTAGCTCACTAATATCCTGTGGGATAAGGAGCCAGCTGCATCAGTGAGTCACCAAAATGTAACACACTTCCAGCAGGATCAACACCTGCAAACATATGATGTATCTGAGGCAGTACTGTTATTCTCATTTGTTAAAAATGATTCTCATGAGTTTCCAAAGTACACATACCAGCCAATTCACTTCCTGGGAAGAAAGTAAACATAACAAATTAGAAGATGGTAGTTACTATTTTTCTATCAATGAATAAGGAAAAATATTTCCTAGTTGATTATCACTTACTCTTTGAAACTGATAGTTTTCCAGCACATGTCCATGAAAACTAAATCTGCTTTAATGCATGAGAGTTAACAAAATGAAGAGACTTGATACAGATACGGATTTCAGAGTTTTGTTGCAATTAAATAATTAACAGTTGATTATTCATTTCCTTGGAATTTCTACTGCAGAAGGCCTTCAAACTTCAAATTTTTTTTCAGTACTTTATGTAGATTTTGAGGACACAAGTATTGTTCCTCAGGCTTGCAAGCCACTCTGTTCAGTAAAAGCCATGAAAGAAAAATTAAATATGGCACAAAAGAAGCAATGAATACTTTTGAATACTGCAAAGGGTATTAGATGGCATGGGTACAGACAATCAAGTTCTGAGTAAAATTAAGGTTTCATAGTGAGCAACATGGCAAGAAGTTTAGGATATTCTCAAATTTATCTACAGTAGCACCACTATTACTAATATTGCTTTGATATTTTTGAAATCAGGAGTAAATCCATGAACTGCTCTGAGCTATTCCTGCATACAGTATGAAAGTGTTTTTAGCAACAAAATTATTGCTAAAAGGAAATTCATGTTATTTATTTCTTTACAATATTCAGTGATGTTCAAATGTTTTTTTACAATCACTAATGGGAATTAGAGAGGTCTGCTCCTCAAACATGTAGACATAAGACAAACCATTTAAAAATGCTTTGAGCTACTCCTTTTACCTTCTGTATAGCAGAGTTTGCCCTGTTTAAAAAAAAAAGGTACATACCAAAAGGTCAGGGCAGCATATTCATTACTTCTGAAAAACATTTTCTTTGGATACTTAATTAGGCATCAGGTATGGATTTTTCCCATGTTTGTCTAGCCTTAAAATGTGAATATAAAAAGAATGCATGAATGCAAATCTAGTATGTGCTGACAGAGAAGTCAAAGTAACTGTGGTTTATCCTCTGGAAGCAGGCTTTGTGTATGTACTTAAAAAAGCTGGAATCATTACCAGAAGTCTAGTACTCTGTTTATTTTTATCTTTCCTAGAGACATAAATCACCATGAAACAGTGATATAATATTAAATAGAAATAAAAACATTAATTTTAAGTAGAATCAAATAGGAAAAATAAACTATAAACTCTGAAGGGCATGTTTAAATATATTTTGCTTGAAAGTCTGCCCCATTATTTTTTCCCCGCTGGTATTTTCTTTGTTACCACATATCCTTCTTGTTTCTATTTTTGTTTTTCAAAGCAAGACTTACAAATTTTGGTAAGAACCATTTAAAACAAATCTTGCACTGGTATTAAACAATTTGAAACAATCTGCTTCTGTAAAATTTAAATTGTAGTAGTAAAGTGCTAAACATTTTTCCTAATTTTTTTAAGTTCTCTCCTAAGGGGCCACATATTATTTAAATAAAAAAGCTATTAAACTTCAACTCTAAACTGAACTGAAAATTATAATACTAACTTTACTGGTCTACACAGCATGCTTGGATTCCAAGACCAGATCTATGGCAATAAGGATGTAAGTAATTAAGAAGCAAACACTGATTGAAAAGGGTGTAAGGGTTTAGATTAGTACATTCATTTAGAAGAAAAATGAAAGCTTGAAAAGTACAATGGCATTATTTGAAGAAATTAGAATTGTGCAAGGTAACCAGCTTTGATTTGAAAAGGCAAATACAAATTCACCAAAAGTACAGGTATCTTCACAGCTACACTGGTTTTGTCTGTATAGATACTTTCAGCTCCAGTGTGGGGGTAAACCAAATTAAAGGACTAGATGTAACGCCTTAATGAAGTGCTTACTTTTTCAAGGGAAATGTGATAGGTAAGGTGAGAAGTTCCCAAGGTGTTAAATTTCATTTGTAAGTTTCATCATACCATACTGTATCAACTAAAGGCACATGATCAACTAAGGGCACATCTTCACAGCTGCAATTGATGCAGCAGGCATCAATTAAGTGGATCTGGTAAAAACAGGGTAAGTTGATGGGAGAGTGTTCTTCCATTGACTTCAGTACTTCACCTCCCCAAGAGGCAGAAACTATGTTGATGGGAGAGCATGCCCAGTCAACACAGCATGATGCCAACACCGCTGTAAATTAATTTAAGTTACATTGACTCAGGCCTGGTCTACACTGGGAATTGAGCTTG